TATAATTACATAACAAAGGGGTGAAAATGGGTTTTGTGCGTGAAACACAAGGGCTGACTCTCCCAAAAACTTTTGTTGTCCCACATAGAGTTCACTAGGGCTGGGTTTGAACTTCTCTGGGCTCACCTACAAAACACATGAATGAGCGTGAGCGATAGCCCAGTAAATAATATCAAATACAGAAGTTGTACAAATGATATGTAGAACAATATGTTTCAAACGGCCTTGGGCCCAATTCATATGTCTATTTAACATGTATACACAATTTAGGTCAAGTGATTGCGGTTCCGAACAAACTGGCCTTTGGCCCATTTGAACTTTCAACTCGAAATGGCCTCTGGCTCATTCATTCTTGTCAAAACGGCCTCCAGCCCATTCATTCATGTCAAAACGGTTTCATGTCAAAACGGCCTCTGGCCCATTCATTCATGTCAAAACAGCCTTTGGCCCATCCGTTCATGTCAAAACGTCCTCTGGCCCATCCATTCATGTCAAAGCGGCCTTTGGCCCATCCATTCATGTCAAAACAGCCTTCGGCCCATCTATTCATGTCATATCAAACATTTGTCCATAATTCAAACCGACAACTTATAAGGCTTATAAGAAATAAGCAATTGGACAAATGACGAGTTTCAAATATCGATATTACTCACAGTGATCTGTTGGTTGGTTTGCTCTGGAGCTCGACCCTACACAATCCATGAACACAAAAGGGTCACCAACAATTCAATCCGTTATTAAATTCACATTTTCCTCTTTAGGCTTTATTCTTATCTCTTTAACTCAATTACAATGCTCAATGCATGCCTAAGAGTACTTAGAAGTAAAGGTGAATGGAAAACGAAACACAGAATACACTTTCAAAATTTCAGAAAGTAGGGTCCCCGCTGGAGCGTGGACTTCCCCGCTCGAGCGGGCCCATGAGCTCTGTAAAAGTACTGGTTATGTCATTTTTACGCTCGAGCGTGGAACTTGGACGCTCGAGCGGAAGTCCATCCTACATAGCTCCCCGCTCGAGCGTGGACTTCCCCGCTTGAGCGGACATCATGGTGTGCAAAAAATACTGGGAGCACGAAATTCACGCTCGAGCGGCAGTTTCCCCGCTCGAGCGGACATCAAATTTCTGGATTTTCCAGAATGTGTTCTTGAGCTCAAATTCGACATTTCAACCACATTTATTGCATATGATGGCTCAAATCTCATATATGCTTGTACTAACATGGTACCAACACCAAATTACAACACAATGGGGTTCAATTTCACGAATTGATCACATGCATGCCCCAAATTAACTCAAACTCATGCATTCAAGGTTCCCATTTTTAATAAACAACATGCATGCCCATTTTGACTTTCATTTTCACTTCTAATGATGCAATTAGTGCTCATTCCCATGAAACTCAACAAAAACATGCTTGCATGTGGGATTACACTTCCAATCTTTCATAATTTTCAATTTACATGCTAGATTTTGTGATTCCATAGGTATTCTTTACATGCATGCACATATCAAGCTTCCATTCCAACAAAACCAACTCAACTCATGCTCTTGGTTACAAACAAACCTTGAACACACAAGATTACACATTAAACCCATGAATTCAAGAATCAATTGCTTACCTAGAAGCCCAATCTATGGTTAATTCTTGAACTAGACTTCAAATATCCAAGCCTGAGTCAAAATTGCACAAGTCTCTCCCTTCTATCTTCTATGGTCGGCTCCCTCTCTCTCTCTCAAGGGACCAAAATCAGATTTTTGAGTTCAAAAGAGACAATGAGAGTGTATATGGCCTCACACATAAGGCCCCACTAACTATTATTTAATAACATTAAATAATTGGGCACTAAATCATCAATTTAATCAATTTAATCCGACCCGATTAAATTTTCAATTAAATTTCACCATAGGCTCTAAAGATTATGCTAATAACAATAGCGCAATCAATTTCGGGTTCTGTGGCCGATAAGGCCCTCAATTTAATTTCCAAAGCAGATAATCAAATAGATATTCCTACAGTGAACAGATAGAAATTCAAAACCACATATTTTCACATAATGGCACATGAAATCATATTAAACACATATTCATACTCAAATTAAAGACCAATTAGCATACTACGGAACACGGGCATCACAAATTTGGTATCTATTTTGGGGCAGAATTCAGTGTGGAGTACAATCCTACAGTTTGGATCATGTCTGTGTTGGTAACATCATTAGCTGAGGTGCTATGCGGTTTCTAATTACTGATAATTTTGCTTTATTTCTTTCGCTAGGTACTTTAACACCATAGCTTCAGAAAGTTCAAATATTCCCCAAGTACTCTGGACTCGAGTTAGAAGGCTTTGCAAAGTCAGGGATCTTGTTTCGGGACAGTCATGTTTACCTCACTCCTACCGGTTACAAGATGAAGGAGAACCAGGCAAAATTCACCGGTTCAGTTTTTACGGCAGTCACCCTCAATTCACCTGTATCTAGTCAGGTTCGGGAACAGTCGTCTACTTCTTGCCTAGCACAGGATCGATCTCCTATTCTAATGGCACAGTATCCCCTAGTCAGTATGGAAGAATTGATACATCATCTAAAGCAGACAGTTGAAACCCTATAGCAAGATGTTGTCCGCCAGGCCGAGGTCACGACCCGCCAGGCCGAGGTTAAAACTAGATTACAACAGCAGCAACCATAGCTAGCTGCAGCCTCTGCATCTCATGCACCTCCTATGGGTATCCCAACACCCGGAGCCACTGCTCATGCTGCCAATGTCAAAGATAATCAAGGCAATTTAGCAGAGCCATTCCCAGCACAAGCCTCCATAACTCTTATTTATTAGACTGAGGCTCCGTTTGAGTTTAAGGTTGACCCAACTGTACTCAAGGTCAATAAAATGGAAAATTTGTTCAAGAGAGCATAAGGGGTTAACTCTATCCCGAATATAAAGGATGGGTACACCGATTCTGCAGTGACATTGCCAAATTGATTCAAAATGCCACACATCAATCGATTCGACAGCTACGGAGATCCAATGGTTCACCTTCGGCTATATTCAGATATCTTGCGACCGTTGGGCCTGACTAGACTACAAAAGCTATCTCTCTTTGGCCAGACCATGTCAGGTATAGCAGCCATATGGTATGCGAAGTTGGAAACAAAATTGGGAGGAGATGGCCAAGGACTTCATTGCGTAGTATTCGTACAATACTTAAATCGAGGTCACAACTCGTGATCTCGAGCCAGCACGCCAGGAGCTGAAGAAGGGCTTCTCTGAATTTGTGTTAAGGTGGAAAGCTAAAGCCTCAATAATGACTACGAGGCCTTCTGAAAAGGATCAGATTATGATGGTTGTCCAGAATTTGCACGGCAACTTACTGCAAAAGATGGTCTTCCTACCTCTGTTTACATTTACAGAACTCCATGAGATGAGAGTGCTAATCAAACACGCCATGAAGCAGGGGCTAATTACAGATGGGAAGAAGCTAGCAAAAAAGCCATTTATACGCAGTTCCAATGCTACCAGTGGTAGCATAGCTGCGAGGCCGTCAGATGTAAGCATTGTCACCACAACCAAGACTGCCGATCCTTTTGCTAACACAAGCTCATAAACACCGTCCAACCCTGGCCGATCCCAAAAGACTTTCAACCAACTTTACATGACCCTATCGTAAGACATGAAGGTACTAGTCAAAAAAGGGCACCTCAAACCATTAGAACCCCGCCTATTGCCTGATGCTCTTCCACCAAAACACAAGCCCACAAAATACTGTGCGTTTTACCAATAGCATGGTCATGATACCGACCAATGCTTTCGATTACGTCATGAGATTCAGGATCTCATTAACAACAAGGTGATCGCACCACCTTAAAAACCAAATGTAACCACAAATCTGCTCCCAACACATAATCAAGTCCCCCCACTTTGAAATCTCAACCTGATCCATACACTGACCACCCCTTATGACCCCAGCGTATATATTACCCCCTCCTACCTACCAAAACCAACGTTGTTCATTCCAGAAGGCACAGATCTCAGAATGATGGATACGTCCAACCCTTAACGCAAGCCTGTGGTGATGCTTACAATGGAAGGGAAGTCGACCTTGGAGGAAGGTACTAGTCTATTGTCAGAGTGTTCTGAGGACTTAACTGATGGGGTGTATGACCCAGGCTGCTACATTGTGCCAACTGGTCAAACCAAGCCTGAATTGGTGCTGCCAGCCTTGGTAGACATCAATGTGGTTAGGGAAGATGACCCGAGCCAGAGGTTGGATGATCTAGCAAAACTCGAGGAGGATTTAGACAATTTGCAGTTCTTTGACGAGCAGGATCGGAGAGATATGCGAATTAGGTGGTTCGGCCTGAACAGATCAACGGACAATACTGGATGGCTGAGTGATGAGCTAGATAAGAAAGAAGAAACTGAAATAAAACCAGAGGGAAAGGAAGCAGGGATCGCTATAGTGGCCGGAAGGGCCGATGAGAAAGGAAAGCTGCTGGAGAACGCTGGCGTGGAAAATTCAGCTCAAGAACTGGACGTTGTGAATACTGCGGATACAGAACAGGAAACTGCACTAAAGTAGTTTGAACAAGAAATGGGTGAAAACAACTGGAAAGCTGGAACAACTCAACTCCCTACGGCGGATATTTGTGGTGAGGGAATGATTAGAACGGCGCCAAACAACTGTTTGTCGGCCGCCGGAGGTGCATGGTGGGAGGATGATTACTTACTTTTGGCTCACACCGATGAAGATTAGGGTGAAGACTTGCCAAACAATACCTGGTACACTGAAGAGATTGACCACATGACGAGAAGTGTGCGATATTTCAAGCCGCCACACTTGGACCAAGCTGAAGCCTTCGGGAAAGATAGAGAGGTTGAGAAGCAGAAGGAAAAACAGTTGGAAGAAGAAGCGGTGCTGAAACAGCTAAAAAGAATTCAAGCCAATATTTCAATCTGGGGTTTGCTCATGGCTTCTCGGGTGCATTGATAGGCTGTGCCATCAGCTATGGACAAAGCAAAATTGTCCATTGACACAACTCCTAAACAACTTGTGGGATTAGTCTTCCCAGGAGGCACCATGCCAACTCTAACCTTCTTAGATAAGGAATTGCCGCCTGAAGGCTTAGCACACAACAAACCTCTGCACATATCAGTGGAGGGCAGAGAAAAATGGGTACCAGTGGTATTGGTCGACACGGGGTCAGCAATCAACGTCTGTCCATCTCGTACAACTTATGCCATCAATTTGAAACAAGCAGATTTCATGCCTACAGCCCAAGTGATCTGGGCATATTATAACACCAGTAGGGAGGTAATGGGCACAACACAAATCCGAGTCCAGGTCGGCCTAGCTTAACAGGACATCTAGTTTCATCTCCTAGATGTCTCGGCCACCTTTAACTTATTGCTAGGGAGGCCCTGACTGCATCTTGTGAAAACAGTCTCTTCTATCCTCCATCAAATGCTGAAATACCCTCATGGGAAAGGAGTGGCTATTGTGTTCGGGGAATTCGTCCATACATCCTCCACCAGAGGTAACTACACCAGTACTGGAGATCGTTCATGGTGAGGAGGATGTATTCCTTTCAGGGTTTACTCTGACCGAGGCCCGGGTGGTGCAGAACATCTTAGCAGCTAATGAGAGCATGTATGTCAGCGCCCAGTCTGTGTATTTCATGAACAAACTCCAGGGAAACAGAGGTCTGTAGACCACCTTTTGTGGCCGTAGACCACATTTCCCTCTCGTAGACCACTTTTTGTGCCCGTAGACTAGTTTTCGAGGCTTCTGGCTGAGTGCCTCGCCTTGCGGACTCTTGTCTTGCTTCCCTTTTGGTTTGGTTTTGAACCAAACCTTGTTTTCTCTTGCCTGGAGAGTAGAACAGGGCTGTAGACCAATTTCTCCCCCTACAGACCACTTTTCTTCCTTGCCAGCCAGTTTTTTAGTCGGCCAGCTAGGGTTGATGGTCTGTGGACCACCTAAAGTGGTCGGCAGCCATGCCACCACCTTCCTTTCTCTGTGCAGACCACCTCCCCCCCCCCTTGCCGACCAGTTGTTCTCCCTGCAGACCACCTTTTATGGTTGGTCGACCAGTGGGAGTGGTCGACCGACCACCTCAACTGGTTGGCACCTTTTCTGCATTTTCTGCATATATTTTCCAGGCCAATTGTGCCAGCTGTTGGGCACAGAAAGCATCCTCCGTACACGTGTATGGAGGGATTGCTTCAAGCTTTAAGCTTGTTCAACAAGCTTGATGCATGGTTTTCTATAAAAGGGAGGCTCCTCCCTCTTGTCTCAGGTTCAGAAAAATTGGCTGAGGGCTATACATATATCTCTATCTCTATATTACTCCCTCTCTTTATATTTGTGCTTGAAAGTGTAGTTTCTTCACACTTTTGCACACAAACACCTAGTGAAACACCACACTCTTGTTGCTGAGTCACCTTGAATCTGGTTTTGTGGTTTTTGGATTGCTTTTGGTCCAAAAAAGTTGTTGCAGTTGCTTCCTTGAAGTTGCTCTACAAGGGTGAGTCTCTAGCCTCTTTCAAGCTTTGTTTTGATTAAGTCTTTGGCCCTATTTGCATGACGTTTTAGGCCTAACTTTCAACTATAAAAAGTTCTGATTTTAAGTGCTTAATATGTTTGTTTGAGGCTTCTTTGGTGTTGGGGGTGTTCTGCCCCCCTTTTGTGCCTTATTTGGCTTTGTTTTGTACCACCTCTTTTAGGCCATTGAGATCACCTTCTCTTGGCCTTTTAACCACTGAAATCCAGTGGATTTTCAGTGGTAGAAATTGTGTTTTGAGGCCTCAACTAGGAGGGGGTTGTCTGCCCCCCCCTCCCTCTTCTCTTGTTTGCTTGTGTTGATGGCTCATCAAAGTAGCATGTTTGTTAAGCTTGTTTTGGCTTCATCTCAGCCTACTTTTGGCCTTATTTCAGTATGGCATACCTCTATTTTAGCTTAGTTTAGGCCACCCTTGCATGCTTTATACACTTGTAGTGTAATCCTTGCAAACTAGCCTTGTATGCTTATGGTTTTAGCTCACCTTTCTAGCATGTATTGATTCTGTTTCAGCATGTTTTTGGTCATTATTTAACATGCCTTAACTCTTATTTTGGCTGGTAGAGTCATCTCTTGCTTGGTTTTTACACTTGTAGTGTAATCCCCTTTGTTGGCCTAGTATGCTCCATGCTTCATGCCTCTAATCCTAGCTCGTGTTAGCTCTATCTGAACATGTATTTGCTATCGTTTTGCCATGCTTAAGCTCTGTTTTAAGTGGTCTTGATCATTTGGACCTTGCTTTGTACAGCCATAATTCATTCTTGCCCACTAGCTTTGTGTTTTGAGTCCACTAGCGTGCATTGCTTAGGCTATTCACATGATTTAGAATCATTTGATACATGATTTCAGAGCATGTTTCATTGTCATACACTCACATCTTTCACTCTTTCAATGTTTTGGAGGGTTGGTGCTTTATGCCTTAAATTTGAGCCTCCTAGCATGCTTTCTTTGTGACATGTGCATGATTTGACATCATTCAACATGTTATTTCAGAGCATATTGCATTGCCATGTTCTCACTTCTTTCACTCTTTGAGTGCTTTTCACAGTTGTGCCTTTGTGCCTCGTTTATGGGCCAATGTGTATGCATGCATGCCTAGACTTTTGAGCTCCCATCTCAGCATGTTTTGGTCTTTGTTTTGACATATTTGATCTCTGTCTGTGGTTGGTTCAATCATTTGTGCCATGTATTGCATGCCCCTTGTGTAGTCTCCTTTAGTAGCCTTGTTCCTTAGGCCCTCTTGCATGCTAAACTTGTGTTGTTTGGATGATTTAGCATCATTTCACACCTGATTTCAGAGCATATAGTGTTGTCACACTTCCATGTTTATCACTTCTTGATCATCTTTGAGAGTTACGCTCTTATGCTTAGTTGATGGGCCAATGCATGAGCATGCATTATCTTGCTTTTCATGCCACCATTTCAGAGTATTTTGGCCACTATTTTGGCATGATTTAGGTCTGTCCATATTTGGTTTAAGTCCATTGAGCATTGTATTGCATGCCTCTTGTATGATGCCCTTTACTTGCTTTGATGCTTTAGCCTTCAAACATGCCATGCATGCATTGTTTGCATGATAGAATCTTGTGCATGCCATTCTAGCATCGGTAGAATAGCATGTTGTTTGCATGTTGTTGCATTGCATTTTGTTTGCATGTTGTTTCATTGCGTTGGGTTTACATGTTGTTGCATTGCATTGTGTTTTCATGCCATTAGCATTGATAGGTTAATCATGTTACATTGCATTGTGTTTGGATTGAACATTAATCCAAACACGAGAAACGAGGGACGTTTCATACTTGAAGTGATGAAACGTGCCTCATTTCTCGGTCGTCGACCCTCTTCATCATGCATGATAGAGGTTAAGGCCCATATGTGTTATTTGTGGATTCATTGACATTGAATTGTGCAAACTTCGCTTCTCGGCCATCATGCATTGCGACGCTCTGTTGGTTGCCTCAGAGTCGAGTACTACACTCCCTTGAGCTTAAGAAATGATAGGGAGGGTGGTTGTGCACACATACCTTACAAATACACTGTTGTGCCCCTTTTTGTTCTCTATTGCAGCAAATTGGAGTTTGGCAGAAATTTCTGGTTGGCAAACCAGAAAAAGTAGCTGGCCGACCACTTTTTCTGGTCGGCAGCATGTTTAGGTGGTCTACACCACCCTTTTCTAGTCAGCAGCCCTCCTAGAGGTCTCCATGTTGGAGTAGAAGCTATTTGGAAGTTTGTACAGTGTTCTGAAATTAAATGCAAACAGAGGCATTTTGGGGCATAGTGATGGATTTCCGAGCGAGGCGACCGAGCATTCATGCACTTCTCACCCCAGGGCTCCTTTTAACTATTGTACTTAGTTACTTTACTTAGTTAACTAGTTTAACGATTTTGTACTTAATTAGTTAATGCGCTTAACTAATCAATTTGTGTGGTAATAACTAATTAGTTAACTAGGATTAGTTAATTAGTTTTGGTTTGTAATAATTAGTTTAGTTAGCTTAGCCTAGCTAATTAGCTTATTATTCAAACCCTCCGTCGAGAGGGCACAATGCTGTAATGAGCGTGCGTGTGTGTGATGCATGTCTTCCAACCCCCATTTCTTTCTCCCTTTTACTTACCCACTTTTAGGGGTTACATTAGGGCATATTTTAATTAGCATCCTTATGCTTGCATGTGTGCATCATTTATCTGTTTTGCATGCACCGGGTTCGGTGCATCATACGAACTGCATTGTATTTCAATACCGATTTGAATACATGTTATCAAGTTGAATTCACATGACATCTTAGAATAGCCGAGCCTATCTTAGTTGCATTTTGCATGTGATGCGTTAGGCATTGTTAACATAGCTAGGATCATGTATTGATTTCTAACGTAGCCTCTTTTTTGGCTCGGAGTACACTGTGAATGTTTATACTTTAGCATCCTTACATGCGTGTAAGTGACTGCCATGATAGCATGCTTGCCATAAGGTTATTTGCTTAATTGCTATAACTGCATGAATGCCTGTGGATGAAGGTTTTATTGCTTGAATTGGAATAATTCGTCGAAATGCGAGTTTTAAACCCACTTGAAGTGGAAAATAACCATGTTTTCTAAGCCCACTTGAGGGTGGCAAATCTGCGTTTTGGCCTACTTGCGAGTAACAATTCCAAACCATTTTCACAAACAAACATGAAATGTTTTGTTCCAATTTGAGTGATTCAGTCTATACTTGTGTAGACATCCCCGAACGCTCCCGGGAGGGTGAGTCCCGTTCTGTTCATTTGGGGTCGCTACAGCTCGGACTCTCAAATTTGTCACGGTTCTTAATATGAACCAAAGAGTCCAAATCCGGCAAATTGTTTTGGGAAAACAGATTTTGAAAGAAGTGCCAAACATGGACTGCTTTGCCAGATAAACTTTGGTGATGACGGACACGTGGCCTTAGGCACGAGTCAGGGTTTCCTAAATTTCTCAAAACAAAATGTTTAGGTGGCGACTCTGAAATCTGGAAAAGCAGTCCATGTTTGACGCTTTTTCATTCAAAATTGATTTTTCAAAACCAATTGTCGGATTTTGACTCTTTGGTGATTTATCAGTGTTACATTGCACTTTGTGAGATTAGATTCAAAACTGTGACAGGAGTCCGAACTGTTGTAGCTAGAACTACAATTCGTGTCCTCACGCGCGGAGTGGAGTTCGGGCGGTCTACAGTTTCTGGCGACTCTGCTGGGGATTTAGAGAACTTGACTCGAACTCATGATACAGTGTTTTCTTTACACTTTTGTGTTTCTTTGCATTGCATTTACATTGGTGCACCTCAGTCATAGTGTTTGTTGTCTGCTATTCCTGAACGGTTTGCCGGAGGCTTGCTTAGAAAAGCGTGCTATATGGCTGACCAGTTACGGGCTCTACCACAATGGGAGCACAAACCTCTGTTGTTGCCGAGGCACCCTTGTTTGACCATTCGACCTACTTGCATATCGGAAACTGTACTGACCATTCCAAAATAGGACAGGTTCCTTACCCGATTGTAGGTTGTTTGAAACCGCTGCGTGCGTAGTGAAACCCTAGCTCCTGACAAGATAGGATAGGGAAACCCTACCCCTCC